TTTCTCCTTCTCCCTTTTCCCTCTCCTTTACCCACAATAAAATCTCTCTTAACCTGATCCAAACCTGGCAACGTTCATTGGGACGAAATTACAATTAATTTGCAAAAGTTCAGCCAGATGGCCCAGTTGCTATCTCTGGCAGTGAGGATCCCATGGTAGCCTGCCTGCCTGCAGATCCTGCTCCTGTGGGATCACTGCTGTGCCATGCATGGAGCTCGGCTCTGCCCAGCACCCTCTCAGGCCTAGAGCACATGGACCTCACCCTTGTGTTCCCCTCGCTCTCCATACCAGCAGGTAAAAGCCACATTTTCAGCCAAGATAGGTGGGAGGTTAACAAGAGACAGTTCATTTATCAGCAACTCCTTAAATTTCCTTTCGGAGGACAAAATTGCATTTTGAGGATTGAGATGAGGGAGAAACGCTCATTTTGCCTTCAACTTGCTCTATCATAGATTATTTTAATTTTGTTTCACTCAATTATTACCTGAAAATATGCAAAACTTCGTAATTATTATCTGAAATATGCCAAACTTCATCCTAGCCAGCTATAAAATAAATCTTTTAATTAAGCAAAGTATTGTCTATGCTTTTCATTTTTCATTACATGCACCAAACATTTTGTACGAGAATCTTGGCACTCCAACACAAAACACTTTCAAAATGTAAATGCTCCAGCTCACATGCATAATTTCTGCACACATTCATCTGAGGGGCTGAATAGTTCTCTCAGCAGTTATATTTCAAGTTACAGACTAAAAATAATTTTAAATTTAAACCCTGGAAATTGCCATCTAATGAACAGATTTTAATCCCTCTTCAATTAACATGCACGTGGTCTTTATACACTGCTATGATCAGCACACTTATAGAAACCCTCACTGTGAAATAAACCAGGCAATTCTGCTGCTTTTACTTGCAGAGTTAATTTCTAGCAAGCCTCCGCAAAATAATGAACTAATATGTGAGAAACAATTTTATATTCCTTTAAGCTAGTCCTCATCAACAAAGTAGCCCCCAAGTATTACAACCTAAGGATAAAAAAAAAACCTTCTTTAGATAAATAGCATCATTAGCAGCAATACTGCCGAGTACTCTGAAATTTCTCAGTGAGGAGTGTTCAGCAGTTTGTGAACCCTCAACTAAGATTTTATTTGCATTGTACCACGTAGCTGCTACAGGCCTCTAAAAACTCCTTTGAAGAAATTAATTTTAGCTATCACCAAGCCATATGCTCCTAAATTCCTTTCTTAATCTACACAGTTCACTAAAATATTCCCTAGTTACTTTGAGTATGATCAGCCAATAAATACTGCTTTACTACTTAAAGTTATGAGTTCTATTTCAGTTTATGTTGCCATAAAACACTTCTAATGCAATGCCAATACGGAGATGGTTTTGATACAATGCTGTCAATGGCCTGAATTTAAAATTATTTTTATATAAGTCACAAGGTATTTTCAAATTATTTTGGGGTTTTTTTGGTGGGGGGGGCTTTATTTACTTGGTTGAGGTTTTTTTTGGTTTTTTTTTTTTTTTCAGAGAAAGCCTCTGAAATAATTTGTATTTGGTCTGTTATTTACTTTAAATACTAGACATAAATAAAATTAACAGGAAAAGATTACAGTATTTTACACAAGTCTCCCATTTTTTCCAGTGTGCAGAAAAAGCATTTTGGTTTAGAAATACATAAGAAAGGACTAGTTTCCTCATAAAGTGCCCTAAAATATATTTATTTTCAGATACTTTAATTTCCACAAAGATTACTCTATATAAAGAATTGAAAATACCTATTATTGTAAGTCTGGCAATTTCACAGTGGTAATAAATCCTAAGTGTTTAACTATCTGTCAAATTGCACCTAACTCACTATATCTCTATCCACATGCTACTTTGGTCTATAAATGGCATTACTCTAATATTTAAGTATTCTGCTTAAAATAAATTCCTTCATTAACACCCGAAGAGAAAGAGAGTGGGAGTGTGCGTGAGCAAGTGCCAGGTCGCATACGTAAAAAGATAAAAAGAAAATACACTTTTGGCACTTATGGACCTTTAAAGGCCTTGAAAAGCATCATTTTTAAAATATATGATAAAAATTGTAATTAGAAACTAATCATGAACAATTCCAAGTATCAAAAAATTTAAACATGAATTATGAAAATATTTACGTTGAAATTCACGTCGCTAAGAAAATCAGGAAATGTAACTGTGATGAGATACAATCAGTGAAGAGCATCAGATAGTTACCTGCAAAGCCAGGAGTTGAGCAATGCCACCAGGTCCCTTCTCTCGTATGTGTCCCTACAAATAAACCCCATGCACTGGCTGGTGGCTACGTTACAGCTGCTCTGCACGGGGATGCTTAATAACGCTTCACACAGACTGAAATATTAAATAAATGTAAAAAACTTGCACCGCCCAACTTTGTTTCTTCTCTTAAGCTCCCCTTCTATTTTTATTTTTTAAAAGGGAAGGGGGAAGCGCCATTCAGGAAAGCAGTTATATTGTGCTCAATGAAGGCAGGACTGGCACAAGTCCTAGAACATTTGCATTCAGAAATAAAAGCTGTGATCGACCTTTGTCTGCTAAGAAAATGAAGCTTGCTGGTTTTAAACAGGCTAGCGAAGGGAGGGGCAGACTCGATAGAGAGGGAGAAGAGAACCTAAAAAACAGCAACAATAGCAAATATTAGTCTATCACATCCTTAATAGGCAGCAAAGCGATCCTCCCGAACGAGCCTGGACCTCGCCGGGCTGATAACGCACTCCTGGTTAATCATAAATGATCAGGCAGACGCGAGCCAATGTGCCGATCCCCACGTAGTTCCCGAAACTTGATTTTCCCACTTGGCATCCCCTGCGCTCCGGCGGGAGCAGCTTACCCTGG